TATATATATATATATATATATATATATATATATATATATATATATACACGTATATATACAAACATGTAAACACGAGCACCGGTGTGTATCTTGAAACGGTGTCGAATGTCATAGAAAAATAAACCAGGCTTTTTCTCTCAGGCTCGTGTCGTCGTTGATCCCCAAATCTCTAACGCATACCAATGACATCAAGATCGTACTACGATCGTTAATAAACACTGTCAGCATCAGTAGCTGATTTTTTGTCGGCTTCACTCTACTGCGTATTTTGCACGCTTAAAAAGTTAACTTCGCTTTATAACGAGCTTAAGACCGCGCGCGGTTAACGAGGAATGATTTACCACGTTTTCTTTGCCATATGGCAACTACTAATACATAGGAGAATGTATACACAAATTCGCACGCATACACGTTTGGATACGAACGATTCGTGTGCGTGCTCAAGAGAGGCGACTTTATAAATCACTGACGGCTTACAGGCCTAATATAATCGTGCCTAATAAAGTTGGCAGCCACTAAATTTTCTTAACTCGGCCCCCGCTCGATTCGAGGATGTTCAAACTCTAATATAGTTCAAGAATTCGTGACTCGAAAATGTGATAAAAAGTGTAAGTGGAGATTGAAATGTTTGAAAATGTATATGTTTGTTCAATAATAAATTTCTAACAATTGTTTTCACAAATAATAAAAAATTTGTATACACATATATAATTCTTCGACAAACAAAACATCTAGAAATTATTAAGATCCATTTATTTGATTAATCATTCTCCGCTTCGAGATATCTCCTTCTTAAGAAAATATGGCGTTGGATGGATATATGAAATAAATGAAACGATTATTAAAAAGCTGTTGATCAATCATTAATCGTAATTTGTATGACTGTATAGATAAAGAAGCGGAGGGGAGAAAGAAAGAAAGAAAAATTGGGCTCTACGGTCGAGAAATATCCTCATAAATAAATCGTTTTCCAAGCAAGGAATTGCTTTTCGAAGGACAGTTTAGTTAAGGGACCTGAACTCGTGTTTGGCTCGATACTAACCCAGCCGTATTTACATGCAAGATTTACAGTAGATTGCTATCGATTTCTACTACGTATATTCTCTCTATATTAACGTTCGATCGGTTGGTGAACGTCACTAGCAGAAGCGACTAGTTTGACCTTTGGGTCTGGTTCCTTCCCTCGGCATTACATCTACGAGTAAAACTCTCAGAAACTATGCAATTACGTTTTCTCTCTCTGTTTGATGAGTTTTCTTGCTTTATTCTCTCAATTCGTATTTTAGTTTTTATTTTTTCTCAAAGTTCTCATATTTTTTGATGAAAATTGGTTGCGTATAAAGGAAGATCTTTGTATTCCGGAGATTTCATAGTTTATTATTTTAGGATTCGAATAATTTAATTTTTTCATAATTCATTTATATAAATATAAAAATCTTCTGATTACAGAAGATCAAAGATCTATTTTCTTATATATTTCTTTACATTCTTTCGAATTCACGGAAATCTCGTTATGGATAAATATATATGACACACATGTATATATATTCTGATTATCAGTCATCTATCTATCATGATACAAAATTTAATGAAAAATTAATATACCATCGAAACATGTACATCTACAAATAACCTAAAATATAATGCGTTTTTTTTTATTTTCAAAAAAACGTTATTTCTGATTATAACTTTGTCAACTATTCTTTTTATTTTTTTATTAATTTTTTTCACCAATCACAATTTTCTTTTATGTTTAACAACCAAACATTCGATCATCATTACCTATCACAGAGTTTCCGCATGAGAACATACTGTCCCGAATACGAAAGACCTATCAGCACTAATAACGATACGTGACCATCAAAGCCGCTAGATCCCCTAGCCGAACCATCCAGTTGCAAAAAGGAAATAAAGTAAAAGCGAGCAATTAAAAGCCAACAAGTCAGTCCTCTTGTCCCTCTTTGCTTCGGTCCCAATCCGACGCACCCCTCTCTTGCCTATCCTTTCAAACCTTTGCATCATCATCCAATCAAGATAGCCGCATTTCTGCTGCTAACTGTTTACATGTGTGTGCGCATGCGCGCACAGACACGATGAATCCGATAGGTTGTGCGCTTGTGTATACAATTCATCCGGAATCCTTTCCTTGTTAGGAGTCATTTCAAACATTTGCCATATCACGAAGCATTTCTTGCTGACTAAAAAGACGTTTCTATTCAGAGGCTTAACTCACGTTTCTCTCTTCGTATGCGTGTTAAGAGAATTAATTTCTGATCGGTCTATCTTTGAAATTCGTCCAAATATCTTTATGAACGGTTTCTAATTCTTTGACGCAACGGTTCTCAAGGATATGTTTAAATATGGAGAGAATGGTTATTTAAGCGAACATACCTTAATTGGACTTACTAGAACTGGAATTACTATAATTGTATATAAAAAAAAAATATTTAAAAAAAGTCGTATTGAACTTTGTAGAATTTCAAACAGGTATTTTAACGAGAATGAAAACATGATATTAGGAAGTAGAAAAAAAGATCAAGATCTTGATATAGATAGAATTCCAATTACTTTTTCTTTCAAATAAAAGATTCTTATAAATTTCTCATAAACCAATAATCATGATATTCTTGCATATTTACGAAAATTCATAATGGATAATATGATTCCGTGATTTCTATACGAAGACAATGTTCGCAAAATACAATTCTCGAAATCTCGATTTAAAATATCGCACAAAAATTCAGATGAGAAGGCAAAACAATATCGAAGATTTTCCTTCCTCGAATATCGACTATGAAAAGAACCGCCATTTAGAAGACTACGTTTATGTGTTTGAAGTTTCTTCTGAAAACAAAACCGACATAACCTCAAAGCAGACAGAGGTTGACTAGAAGGCACATCAATCGAAAATTGAAACGTCATTCTCTTATACCGTCATACCAACGAAGAAGACCAGAAAGCTCGAACTATCCGCCACGAATTAGTGATTCTTTCCTGCCTTGGACGAGCATGTTTTCTCGGTAGACGATCCTTCTTTGTACCGCATGCGTCATCCTTCACCGATTCACCGTGCGTTTTATTTTCTTTTCCTCCTTTTTTTCAGATTATCCCATGAAAAGAGAGAATCTACTGCGCACCAACCGCACTGTTCCCTCTGTTGAATATCAAACGAGGTATACACAGGTGAAAGTACCGAATGAGAGAGAAAGACGCTCGTTACCTTAGTCATCCTAGACGTATTGTTGAACCATCAACGGAGAGAGGAGTAGGTAGAACAATGCCATCATGCGTCACGACGCCTGGACGTCTGCCCGTGAATGCGGCTACGTGGAGAATAATTATCGTTGTTTGCACTTCGTTTTCCTGTCCGTCGTTGGGAACGTTAATATTTTTCGGCCTTAATTGATGCGCCGATAATTGTGCGTGGGTACCGCGGAACGGACGCTCGTTTAGCCGGGAGATTGTGGCTTGACTCATTCCCTTCTATACGTACAGATGGAAAGGGAGATGGCGCTGGATACGTAAACACGCGCGCACACGCGTGCAATGGGGCTGACGTTTGATTCGATGTCAATGAGCGGCACAATCGGCCATAATGTATTCCTTCTGGCGTGATCCTGTCCCTTTTGTTGTACGAACGTAAGACGGATGAATTTCGAATGCGGTTGATGTTTAATCGTATTTACCGTGTTGGTATTTCCCTTTGTCCTGAATCGATCCTTAAATTTAAGAGGAGAAACTTGGCGTTGTAAAGTTGACATTGTATAGATGACTCTTATCGATATATTTTATCGCAATATATTATTATTGTCGTATAATGGCTATTATTTTATATATGTCTTCAAGTTTTTTTTAAATTTGTAAAATCAAATCTTTAAATATTTTTGATCTATGAAAATTTAAATTCACTTTTGTATTTAAATAGAATGGATATATTTATTTTCTCTTTTTTTTTGGAATGAATTCAAATTTTTTTTCATTTTATTGAATGAATCATTTTATAAATGATTATAAATGATCGATCGTCTTAATGCGAAAGACTATATCAATAATTTTAAATTTTTTAGCAATATTCGGAAATCAAGAATAGGGAGATATTTCAATTCGATTCGTTGAATTTCTTTCTTTTCAACCGCAAAAGTTTAAGCAAACATCAATTCCTGACTCTTCGAGTTGAAGTTTGATTTCGAATTCCCTTTCCAGAATTTTTCGAAGTCTTTGCGCAGAATCGTTTGTTCGATTGCAGAGAGCAGAATAAAAGTTTGATTTTTCCGAACACGTGAACTCACGCAGTCATTGAGAAGTATAGTATTATCCTTCGAATTCGTAATAAATTGAACGGTCTCTGCATTTCGATCACGCATTTCAAACGAGAATCACACCGTTCCCCCACCATTTCTACCACTAGCTATCCCCACTCTTAAGCAATCTTCTAAGTCGCTACTCTCTCGTGACTCTTTTATTCCTCGTGACAGTTAGTTCGTTTTTATGAAAATTTATTGAAATATCAAATTCGATCGTCGTGATCAAGTACGATCACCATAAATAATTCATAAAATGCAAGCGGGATAATCAATATACTTCGCGAGACACAGTGTTCAAAAATCCATCTATCTTATTCCATCTGATATACCGATTGTTCTTATTTCTGTCTTATCAGCTTGTTAATTTCGTTAACGATCTTTGATTCAACGAGAAAAAAAATGTTAAAACACTTTATCGAGATGGTGATAAACGACAATGAAGTGCGAAATTTTAAACTTAACCTCGAAAAACAGAATCTCGTGAATAAAAAAGGATAACGCGTGCGCATGCGCGTAATTCGAACTGGTGAACAAATTTCTATTGTGATTTTAACACTCAGTTGCTCGTATATGGCGGCAATAAATTAACGTTGCCAACGTTCAAAGGTGGTAATTAGAACCGTCAAATGTTGATTGGTTTGACGATATACGGCAATCTCTTGTGTGTCGATCCAACAACTAATTTCGATGGAACGTGCGCATCGTGATATATAAACGACCATTTAATAAACTTTAATGAAATTGAATAAAACAAAAAATCGAGACTTAAGTTTTAAATTTATGAAAAAAAAAATATATATATATAAAATAAACTAGATGAATTATCATCAATGATTATAATATAATTCTTAATTAATATAATCGATTAATATATGAACATATTTACAATTTCAAAGTAGAAAAAATATTTAACGAATTATATTATATTAGTTGAATCTAATGAAAAAAACATTATTATTTTATTTTCCAAAAAGGATGTCGCTTATATTAAAATGCATATGTTATAAAAATTAAAGAAAGATTCTACCCTACCTTCAACTTTTTTTTTTCTCTAACCGTTGATGAAAGATGCGGCTACTACTAATGAGCATAGATAATAATTATTTTTACGAAAAAATTACATTCGCTGTTGTTGCTGCGGTTGTTCCCCACGTGGTCGTAAACGTAGCCCCGGGAATGATATACCAACAATAATCGTGGCAACATAAAATTCAGCGGCCATTAATTTGCATAAACGCGCCACTCGTTTTATTCCGTATGCATGGACGCGAGTGTGTGCTTGCGCGTGCAGCACATACGAGGAATATCGTTTGGAATACGATCACAAAGTCTCGAATATTTTATACCTTAGTCTCAACCGAGAGTAAACTTCACGACAGAGATAATTACACGCGTTATTTACAACATTGCTGATGCGAAAATTCGGAGACAGAGAGAGAGAGAGATTAGAGAGAGGAGAGAGTAAACGATGTAATAAAGAAACATTCCGATCTCGTGAGGATTCTCCTAAATTTGATATTCATCTCTCGTATTCGATAGGGCCAGAGGTTTTCCATCTCACGTCTATTTGAAAGAAAAAAGTGAGCACACACGTCGCTACAATATCGAATCAACAGTTCATTTAAATATAACGAGCTACGTGAACAAACGTGTTTGGTCGCCCGATGAACACGTTATATTCTGGCACGTATATGTATACGTAATTCGAAAATGCAACTGTAGGTACGATACGAATGTGTAAGTTTGGTAGCGACTGTGAATACATCAGAGACACAAATGTATTTACATATTTTAGATGTATCTAAGATGATTAAAACTGCTCGCATCCTATATACGTCATAGGTATTCAGGAGAGAAGAATTTTGAATAGAGAAAAGAAATTTCGATCGGGATTGTCGTATACTGATTCAAGTGCAAATGGATGCTATCATTCAACTTTATGTAAATGTCGTGTTATTTAATGAATAGAAATTTATACACATAAGAGACTTCTTTTATACTTATGAAATGCAAGTATATTAGAAATAAAATATATAAAAATATTTAAAATTATCTATTTCGAAACAGCATTTTATTTTATTAAGAGTATTAATATAAAAATAAATAGTTGACTATTTTATAAGTAGTTAAAAGTTAATTTCTAGATGATACTTTTTAATAAATGATGTTATTAATTTCAAATGATACAATAAATAATTTACATTTAATTACAATAAATACATTTATCATAGATATATCAAAATGTTTAAATTCATTACATTCTCATACAAATTTTTACAACATAAAACATAAAATAAACAAAAACTTGTATGCAATTTAAAAATCAGAAAACATATCAATAGTACTATTTCGTGATCCATTCTCAGTAAAAAAAAAAAAATAAATTTTTGAAAGATTCTAATGATCGATCGATAAGAAACTTAAAAAGATGATGAAAGAAAAAAAAGTGATATAAAATATAAAATTTTAATTTTGAATATTTATTAATTTTCGTGATGTCAATAAAAAACTTCCAGTATTTGAAAGTTGTATATACAGATTAGTCTTTTGGAACTACGGCTAAAAAGAGAAAGAAAACGTTTTATCTTTGTATATCTTTTTTGGAAGCCGCACAATTTTACGCGAACTTGCCTCTGTAATAATATTCTCTCATTTCGATGCATCCACGTCGAAACGACAAAAATCGTCAGGGCTAAGCCCACATGTTGCTCATGGGTAAAAATACAAGTAACCAATGAAAGGGCCGCGCAGCAGACTCGAAAGGTCAGTCGTGCATACGAGTGGTTCGATGTCTAACGCATTCGTGCGCGTATATACTCCCTTGCCTGTGTGCAAGTTTCGAGCCATGAAGGCACTGACACGGAAGCCCGTACGAATCAGCCACCCTGTTCACACTGTGTGCAGGCCTTACTATTACAAATTAAATACTTCTTCGAAAAAGGAGCCTACTCAAGTCCGTTATTCCCCCTCTCTCTCTCTTCCTCCCTCTATGTTCCCAAGTTTTATCGGTTTCTATCGTCGCACAAAACCGTAAACTCTACTCGTGTTTCGACTGCCAGAATAACGAATCATTTGTCCTCTAAGAAGGACAAAAATAAAATAAACGGTCAGTGTTATCTCTATCGAGGAAAGAAATGTTTTTATTTTCTATGCCTGTTACGTAGACGCAACTTTTTTTCCACGTGAAAGCCGCGCTTGTGTGGTTGGTATTCGCTCAGACGCGATTATTCGACCGTGAATAATCGACTTTTTCGAGGAAACAATAAAAAGAAAAAAAAAAAACATTTTCTATGTCTGATGTTTCTTGACATTCTGATGTAACCAATATAAAATAAGCTTCTAGAAACTTGGCTTCTATGATAAATATTATAGTCCAAGAAATTCAAATTGGATAAAAAAGCTACGTTAGATTGGAATCAGTCGATGACTCGATACTAACATTGCATGATCTGTTTTTCATTCGAATTACCGAGGCAAATAATTTACTACCGAATATTGTTACCTAAAATAATAATTTAGAAATAATAATTCTTGAAACATTTTTTAATACCGGAATTTCTCCTAGTGCCAGAATGCATTTAGTACGGAACAATATATATTTGAAATTAGACATCAGATGATAACCGCAAAAAAGTTAAAGAACATTTTAATTACATCTATATAAGCAAAATAATTGATTGTTCTACTCGATGAGAAGAACAGGAATTGATCTTAGTTTTATAATTAGAAAACACGAATGAAAATTGAATTTAATGTTCAAACTACGAAGAATTAATTCATGAGATTTGTGCTAATGTTTTTGAATGTTCCAATGACTATATTTATATTGATCTTTGCAAATTAAAATTATACTAAGTTAACAATTTTTAATATTAAATGTCATTTTATAATTTTCCAAATTATTATAATAATGTTAATTATTTTCTTGTTTTGTTTTAATCTTAATATTATTAATTTATAAATAAATCAAAATAGAAAAAATAAAATTTTTTTTTCTATTTCTTTAAAAAGATTTTAAGCGTCTGGCACTAGAAGAACTCTTTTTATTATTTTAAACGAAATTTATAAAAAAACAATATTTAAAAAAAAGGAAAACAATAACTTCAAATTGCAATAAAAAAAAAAAAAGAAAAGAAAAAAAACAGAATTTTCATCAAATCGTAATAACGAAATGGCGGTGCCCTCAACCTCTGATATCATTACGCGAATGATGGTGCCTGGTTAATGGGGAGAAAATGGAACAACAGGTGTGTTGCTGGCGGGTCAACACCACTACGGAACAGGATGACAAGTAAGCACAAGAGAAAAGTTTTCAGGTGAAGATATCTTCGCGCACACACGGTCCAAACGCCATTACCCGCTTTATCGTAAATTTCCACGTTTCATTTGAGCGTGAACCGAAAGCGCATCGCCAATGGTCGAATAGCCGGCCATGTTTCTTTTTCTCTTTCGCTTTCCGCAGTGCGTCGAAATGACCTATTTTTACGGTGACGCGCGATATGTT